CAGATCTTTTACAAATTTGGATTTATTTTTATATATTGGATTCTTTATAAAGCAAGATCAGCATAAAAATTTTCGGCGAGTGGCGCAGCACGTGATGTCTTTAGATGATCGCACCATATAAGAAAAAAAAAAACTGATGAAAATTTTAACTAAATTTTAATCCCTAAAATTCTTGATGCCTCAAATTAAAAATTTGCGATAAAAATTTCGGAAAATACACTTCCAATCGTTTTGCGTTCGACTACTAAATTTTTTAAAAGGTATTATTAATTGATTGGAACATAGAATAGAAGTTGGAAATTAAAGAAATTTAATATCAAGGCTTGTGGCTTTTTTAAATTATATATTCATTATAACATATTAATATTCTTTAATATAAAGATAATTATTATTTAATTAATATTAATTTTTTGTCTCTTCATTTTTGTTTTAAAAATAAAAAATATGTAATCAATTAAATGTCATGTTCGATTATAATAATAAAGTTTAATGCAATATAAAAAATACCATCAAGATTTTAATTTTAAATTAAAATATTCTCATTATTATTGATTACTCTACTCTATTATCAGTTAGAACAGTTTTATTTAAATATAAATTTCCTTAAATATTTATATTATTTAAAAAAAAAATATTCTTTTATTAAAATAAATTCCTGTTTTTCCTTTTCCCTTTAATTTTCTTTCTTCATAAAATTACAAAAATCATAACTATAATTGTGATTAAGAAATATGTCATCTTTTATAACAAATTCCTCTAAAACATCAAACTCTGATTCTCCAACTTTTTATGCTGATGAGGTTCCGGTTGCTGACTTAGTCTACTCCTTTGACTGGTCCTCCACTCCTCTTGGACCTATGGAAGAATGGGATCCTTCATTCAGAATGGCCGTTGTATATAAATTTATTTCTTTACCATTGATTTTTGATTTTTGATTTTTGATGGAATTTTGTTTTGATTGTTCTTTATTTGATAAATTTTAGGGAATTCAAGATTTTTTAATTTGCTTAAAAAAATAAAATAAAAATAAAAATAAAAATAAAAATAGTAGATTAAGTTATTAATTTATTTATTTATTAACCTAATTCATAAAAAAAATCATGAAACAAAAAATTTCAGAACCTTTTCTTTTGATTCTTGCGAAAATTTTTTGGATTTATTTTTTAAGAAAGTCTTCATCCTCAAGTTCTTTTTCAACTACAAAAAAAATCAAACGGCAGGCAAATAAATCCATTCGGGTTCGTAGATATTATGCAAAACTCCAAAGAAGAAAAAATTCAAAGAGAAAAATTATTTCAGAAATTTCAAAAGCTATGCAAGGATGGCAAAAAAAAAAAAGCCCAGAACCGAAAATAATACTATTTGACAAGAAATATCGAAAAATAATTTGTCTCGATAACCATAATATTAAAAGTTATTTGAAATGGAAAATAGTCAATATTCCAAATAACAATGATAATAATAACAACAACAACAATAACAAAATTGCATTTCCTCTTTCTTCTTCATCACAATCATTTTCTCTATCGTTCTCTTTTATATTATCGTCAAAAATATTATCGCCATCACAATTATTTTCTTCATCGTCATCTCATAAATTATCATTATTTTTATCATCAACTTTCTTTTTCCGTTTTCTCTCTTTTGGTAATATATTATTAATTCAGGATAATACACAGCATGCTCAATGTGCTATATCAATCCAAGAATTATACCACGAACAATTGTACCTGGGAGAGCCCAACCATCAACATATTGATGATAATAATACTGATATGATAGAAACTGAGAATCATGATGCAGTTGATCAATTTTCTACGACGGCAAGTGTCTCTATGGTGCCGGATATTCTACCATTCGAAACTTTTAATAATGATCTTGATTTTAACCCCAAATGGATTATTAATGGTGTTGATATAGAAACATCATCAACTAATAATATCACTTCAACTCAACCTCAATGTGGAGAAGTTCAAATCGATGCTTATAATCCTTACTATTATTATTTATTGTAATTTTTCATTTTATATTTCTATTTATCTATATTTCTTCCATTATTATTATTATTATTATTTGGTGTCCAGGAGACTTCGACACTTATAAATTTTATTTTGTAAATAAAGTTATTATAAGTGCTCTCTCTACA